GAACAAGATGTTTGGGACAGATAAGCAGGACGGGAAAAAATGACCTAAGGATGCAGAGAATGAAAGAATAACGTTCAACTTGCTAAATCATGTGATGAATACCTCCCAGGTAAAATAATGTTCACTACATAAGTCCAACTGCGGCACAGCATGAAAATAAACACACTTAAGTTAGATGCTGGCGGAGATCGATGGGTGAAACAGGCCGGCTATGGTAAATATATAGAATAAGGTGGATGCATAAGCGTGCTGAATGTTTACCTGCGATACAGGTATATTCAAAGGCACATCCGTCATTCTAAGGACACACGCTGAGACAGAGGCGTGGAGTGCATGATTGAACATCAAAGGGGGAGGGCGCTATTAGCATTTATCTTTCAGATTCACAGCTGGGAGATGAGGTGCTCTTTAATTGTGGCTTTGTCTATTGTAGGTCACAAGCTTACCATCAATCACTGAGCGGGTAACCTGGCAGCTCCTGACTTAAAGGAACAGAGGGAGGCAGATCATGAATTATAATAAAAACGATAAGCCAGACAAAGTACGAGATTCAATGTTTCAACAGAGATCAAAGATAACAATTCTTGTACTTGTAGAAGTGAATAAAAAGCAACGGGCACATAACAACTGCATTAGAGGTCACAAACTGCATGTGTGCTCCAGAAAATACTAAAAACAAGAAGTCCTGTGTTTTTGTCCCAAGCCTTACTGACGCACAGCGGGTGTCTGGTGTACAACAGTAGCAGGTCAACGCTGTAGTCTTCAAAACCACGGGGTACAGAATCTGTATGAGATCAACCTTTATCTAGCTGAGGTCACAGACTCCAAGACTACTGCAGATGTATTTTTGATCCAGGACATTGTGAGTAAAGATCTTATAAAATATTAAACCTGCAATAATCAATCTTTAGCAAAATGCTTCATGTTCAGTTGCAAACTTTTTTTGTCTTTCGGCCTTGAAACAATGCTGTTAAGAGTGAACCAGAACAATAAAGCTGAAGGTCATAAAAACAAAACAATGAGTCATTCATTTTGTGTGTTCTAACTATGAAGGACTCCTTTGAGATAACAGGAAGTAATTTGAGCCGTTGTTAATATAAAAAACATATTAATTATAGGTGATTTGAATTAATTAGTTGAAATTTTAGGAAATAAACGCATTTGCCCTACTGAAAAAAGATGATACAAAAATGTCCCCATTCATATTTATAGGTTTTATGGAGCTACAGCCAGCAGTAGATTAGCTTAGTTTAGCATGAAGACAGTTTATCAGTAACACCTTCCAGTACTTTAAAACATATTGAGCTGTTAAGCCCTTATTTTTTTCTTTAATCCATATATAAACTAAAAGTAATAAAATACAAGTTATAGTTTTACAGGAAAGTAAATGTTTGAAGACAAACAGATTAAACACTTGCTTGAGAGCTAGGCTAGCTGTTTCCTGCAGCCTACTGTCTTTTTGCCAAGAATGATCAAAACTATTGTTTTAAAAAGCATACAAGGGAATGCAACACCAAAATCCACATGAGAACTTGGGCATCAGTCAGAAAACGATGCATGAAGTTTAAAAAGAGCAAAGAAACAAACAAGAAAATATCAGATCTCCAACGTATACTAGCAAATACCCTCGAATCACAAACAAACACTAATAACACACTAAACTAGAGAATGCAATTCCTGAAAAAATTGCTAGTGGGAATGCTTTAGGCTGAAAAGCTGACGCTAAACTGCTATGCTGAAATGTAATGTGTAAGAAGAAAGTGTAGAATTTAGATTGAAATGATACATGAACACTGGGAGCTTGAATGTGATAAGAAAAAAAAAAAAGTAAAAAGGCTTGGAAAAGCAGCAGAATATTTTAACAGCAAACTTTTGAACTAACTTGATGGTGAATGATCTGTCGCCATGCCAACGGCATTTGATGACATCCCATAATACACTTAGATGCGCTGATGGCTGTATCGTTACCAAACCTGTGAAGTTTTGGGCCATTTGGAGCATTTTCACTGAAGTTATGAGAAAACCGTGTTTCATGGTGAGCATTGTGTTACCATGGCAACGGCATTTGAAGAAATCTCAAAACTGTCCCGTAGATGTCTTCACGGCTGGACTGTTAACACACGTGAAGTTTGAGCACTTTTTGAACATTTTCATAGGAGTTATAGCGACATCGTCTTTTATGGCGTGGGATGGGTTTCCATGGAAACGTCATATGGTGAGATCTCAGATTTGGCTTAGAGCTGTTGAGGCATGGACCAGTGATATACAAGTGAAGATTGGGGGACGATTGGACCATGTCCATTGGACTTACAGCGACATCGTGTTTCAAATCAAATCAAGTTTTATTTATATAGCACATTTATAAACAATTTTTGGTGGAGCCAAAGTGCTGTACATGTAATAAAAATAGCCTACAGTCATGTTGTATTTAACACAAAAATAACTACAAACCAAAACGGTCCAGATGTACCTAACATTTCATTGAGGAAAGAACCAGGTAAATAAATCACCCTTACGCGACTATGTCGTAGACAAGAAGATTGTGTTTAAGCAAATAATAATAATAAGGCGGAACCCTATAACTGGAGAAGAGGAAGGGGCGTAACTTGTAAGCGTCTTTGAGGCAAGTTTGTAGTTGTGCAGTCGAGCGGCCTTTAACTACCGCTAATGAAAGTAGTAAGTATTGAAAAATATAAGGTCTCTATGTAGGTACTATGTAGTGTAAATTGTACCTTTTAGTTTACCATCTTTAAGAAGTCTGAAGTTGTTTAGAAGTACGCTGAAAGTTGACGATTGACAAGGAAGTATGAAAGTGAGTCTTTTGGAGTAAGGTTGAAATTTTACAATGTGTAGAAAGACTGTAATAAGCGACATTGTGTTGAAAATTTAGACTAAGAATCAAAATCTCTATAAATTTGTAACAAGTCTGGAACCATTTCTCAGGAAGAGTCTAAAATTGTAAATTGACTCACACTACAGTGTCCGATCTCACATCTTTAGAACCTTTAACACGGAGAACTCCCGTACCTTCACCTGTTTTTAAAGTTGTACAGAGGTAATTTCGGGTAACATTAAGTCCGAACATAAAGGAGGTGTCCGTCGTCGGCATGTGGAAATAAATTAGACGGTTTTTCCGGTGTAATACTGGGCTTTCGATGTGTTTTTGTGTGAAGTCTATGAGTTCCAGATACTCTACGAAGTGCGAAACCTTTAAAAGACAATGCCCAAAAGTTGTTTTGCAAGTGGTACATGTTCTCCAAATAGAGAGTAAGTCTTGTACCTTTGGAAACTAGAGACTGTGGAGCAAAATCGAGTTTATATTTGTGGACACATTACCCTTGTGCTAATACAGTAGCCGAGGTTGACTGGACGAGTCTCGTCGTCTGAAGTCGTATTACCAAATTGACCAGAGACCGGGAGTTGTCGAGATGCAAGTTAAATACCCCACAGTAGTATACGGCAAAGGTACCTCTTGCGTAGGGAGCGGTATTTTCGGTGCTAACCAGTGATATGTAATTGAAGGGAAACTTTTACAAGTTTTTCACGAGTTTGAGTCGGCACTTCTGTAGATGCCCCTTTCAAAACTCTAAAGAAATTTACCGGCAACGGTACCGTTGTGTTACGAGCATACTTTGTCGCCAAAAAGAGTATTGAAGTCACTTTGTTCGAGTTTGCCGGGTTTTGAAGTGTCCAAACCATTGCTACGTCGGTAGTTTGCGTAGATTCGCATAATACCCCACAGTAGTTTACGGCAACGGTACCGCTGTCTGGTGAGCGGTACTTTGTGTAGAACAACTGTAGTCAACTGTAGAAGCAATCTAAGTAGAAGAGTAATGTCTGTCTACGAAAAGGATTGTAAACCTGATGATACGACATTTTTAAATAATAGAGAAGCTAAATGTGTGCCGTAGATAACGTTCAGACAGGCAGGACCTTTCCGCTAGGAAGGAGACGACGAGAGGGACTCCAAAGAGGGTAAAAAAGGGAAAATTTGACACCAAAAGAGGCCTTCAAAAAAGGAACAATGCTACACTTCCCAGATTCCTATCTCCCGACAGCAAAAAAGAGTATGACTATAAGACTTGGTTAGACATGACAACATAAATCGCATTTC